TTGCGTGAGCAGGGCATGGATACCGCTAGTCCGCGGCCAGTCCAAGCTTTCCAGCTACAACCACGGGTGAGCTGGCACCCCTCCATATATCCCGTTCGTGGTCGCTACAACCGAGCGGTCGACCCCCGCCTTGAGGGCCAAGGTGTGCTGGCATGGCAGCGGAGGACGGCGCTGGTCGTGGCTTTGGGCGCGCTGGCGGCGGTCATCGCGGACCTGGTGCTGCTGCCCCTGCTGGACGACAGCGTCGAGAACCAGCCTCCTCTGCGTCTGGACGGCCTCTCTCGAGAAGCACGGAGGAGCGCAGTGCCCGACCACGACGTAGAGCTGCCGAGAAGGACGACGTGCAGGCGGTCCCTGGTTCCCGACGTGACGGCAAGCGAGACCCTCGTCTCCCCACGGCCGAGCATGACAGGCTGGCCCGTCAGCAGGACAATGGCTCCGTGTTCGGCGTGCTGCCTGATTCCCAGGCTGCTGCCTCCGTCTCAGCTCCTGAACGACCTCACGCTGCTTTTCCGCGACCTGCTGACGAACCTGACCCTTGGCAAGTTCCTGGTGGTGGACCATGGCCAACTCGCACATCGAGTTCTGCTGTCGGCGCCCCGCTACCTGGCACACCAGTGGGAGGTTGTGCCACTCCGACCGGGCTCTCGGGTGACCTCCAGGCCCTGTTGGAAAGCTGCATGCAGCAGGCCTCTGTGGCGCTGGCGGAGTCGTCGCGTGTCCAGCTTGCCTCCTGTCAGCAGCAGCTGGTGGGAATGTTCCAGGCGCAGCAGGAGCACGTCGCCAAGTCGCTCGCGGTCCACACCCGCGACGTTGCCAAAGTCGGTGGGCGAGCGGACGCCCCCGCCGAAGAGCAGCGGCGGATGCGGGCCCAGATCAACGACCTCGAGAAGACGTCCGCCATGGCAGAGAAGGAGATCCCGATCATCGACTTCCAGGCGCTCTAGGCGTGGGCCAGGCTTCCTGACGCGAGGATCTTCTCAGTGGGTGCTCCCGAATTGGTCGGCCCCGCTTAAGTGCGAGCTGGTATCTCAGACTGGCTCACGGCGGCTGGCCTTGACAATAGCATGGCCCGCCTCGGTGCCAACGTCCCCAGCAAGCTCTTCAACATCGTCGTGGAGGGCGGACTGGACATCGCCATACCTCGTGCTCAAGCGCTGGCCCGTCATCTGCGCAACCCCGCTGCCCCCAATGGATGGCGCTCCTTCCAGTGCCAAGCGGTCGGCGGTGGTGCCGTCCCGCTCTACGTTTCCCCTGACAAATCTCCCCAGCAAGTACGAATGCAAATTCAAACGCGGCGTCTTGCCAACATCCTCAGCGAGGCGGTCCCTGGCCACGCTTTCAGCGCACAGCGTGCACGTGGCATCATCACTTCCCAGGGCGTCGAGCTGGCCGAGCTCGAGATGGGCGAACGTCGGGAGTCAGACACCACCATTCGCCGGAACATGGGCATGGTCTCGCGCTTTGCCATCGGCAGGGATGCGATCGCCGAGCAGTTCAACAAGGCCTTCTCGCTCGAGGACCGCACCGAGTGGCTTTCGCACCTCGCGCTGGGCACCGTGGCGTTCGCCGACTTCAGATGGTGGCCCCCGCGGGCCGCACTTGGTGGTGTGGAACGCCAGGGGCCTGCTACACTCGAACCCGCGGCTGCGGCGCCGCAAACTGGCGCTCTTGAGCTCTCACATGCGGGCCGGCGCCATGATTCTTGTCCAACAAGTCCACGGCTCGGAGGACGCGCTGAGGATCTTCTGCCAACTGCAGCCGCAGCGTACCTCTCTTTCCAGACGACTGGCCCCTCCCCTGGCGTTGGTGGCGTCGCCTTCTTGGTCCCGCAGATGGCCGCGGCAGCCCCGTCAGGTGTGGGCCCCATTTTCTCTTTCGACATCGTGGTCCCTGGTAGGGTTGCCCTCCTCAGTGTCGTCGACCCTTCGACGCAGTACAGCATGGGGCTCTTGAGCGTGCACAACTTTGACCTCTCGGCTGGCGACTTCGCGGCGGTGGAGGCGGCCTGGGAGGATGCTCTCGCCTGGGCCGCGGACGGCCACCTGGGGCGCATCTTCATCGGCGCGGGAGACTTCAACATCGCGGATCGACCTGCGGTGCCTCAACGGTCTGCCGTGGCAGAGGAGACCTGGCGTTTGCGCCTTGATCAACGGTGCCAACTTCGACAGCGTGCGTGGCGCCGTCTCCTTGGCGCGGCCCTGGAGATCGAGGCGCAGTGGCCCACCCACTACGACAAGGCCAGCCAGCAGCTCTCGGTGATTGACCGCGTCTTCCTCGGGATCGACGCGCGCGATGCTCTCCGTGTCCACGCGCCTCGCGACTGCCTGCGACGCGATGGAGCTGTCGGTGCTCGGCCTCAGCGGCCATGCGCCCCTCGTCCTGCAGATCGAGATGGACCGTCGCGTCCCGCGCGAGGAGGAGGCGATCCCGTCGTACCTCCTCTTTCGCCCGAAGTACCCCGATATGTTCTCACTGATGATGGCGAAGCGATTTGGAGGCGGTGACGGTCGAGGACCGTTGGCGCGCCACCAAGACTTGCATTGAGCTCGCAGCCCGTCGGGTTCGAGACGAGCTTCGTGCCAACTTCTCCCTGAAGGTCAAGGACGGCAGCGCCGAGACCGCGTGCGTGGGCTTCAAGTCTGCGGCGCGGGCCCTCTGGCGCCAGGATGCGCCTCTGGCGGCCCGCCTGCTGGCTTCGTGTCCCGCTCTCTCCGCCCACCTGGTGATTGACCAAGGGTCGGTGTGCGTGGTGGGCACCAGAGCCTTCGGCGAGGCCTTTGACGCGGTCGCGGCGAAGGTTCGCGCCCCGCGCAGGCAGGCGGCCGAGGCTGCTGCGCGGAGGTCCAACGGCCGCGAGAGTCCTGCCTGGCGTCGGGTGGAGCGCAGGTCGGCTCGGGGTCCCCTGGCGGCGCCGCGTGGTGCTCGCTGGCCTACGGCTCGATACTACCCCCCTGCGCCTCCGGTAATGCCGAGGCCGTGCCCCCCAGGGTGGTCAGCGACTCCGCGGGCATGACGGGCGTTGTTGCTGAGTACTGGGGCAGGATCTTCGAGCGCGCGCCGACCGAGGGGCAGAAGTTGCGGCTCAACCAGTTCCTTGATCGCTTTGCCCCGCAGCACCCTGTGGTGGAGCTACCCCAGCCGTCGCTGCGCGCGCTGGAGCGTGCTGCTGCGCGGGCACCGCCCAGCGCCCCTGGGCCTGACCAGTTGCCCTATGCTGCGTGGCGGCGCAGTCCTGACGCACTGCGGCATCTCTATGCTTTGATGGAACAGCTTTTCAACGAGGGTGTTGGACCGTGCGACCTCAACTGGTCGGTCTTCTTCTGCGTGCCGAAGGGTACTGAGGACGAGGACACCCCCGACTCGTGTACTCGAACGGCCTCAACCGTCCGCACACTCTCCCGCAATAATGCGGATGCCAAGCTCATTGCCTCCTGCGCGGATCGCGCTCTCCGGTCCGTCGCCTCCGTTGCGACCGAAGGGGTGCAGAAGGGCTTCGCTGCTGGGCGAAGGTTCGTGGACCACATCCCGTTTCTGGACGCGGAGTGCCGCCGCGAGGGTCTCCTCCCTGGAACTGCTCAGCGTCGTTTGATGCTGTTCTCCTACGACTTCCGCCAGGCTTTCCCGTCCCTTTTCCGCGACGTGATCGACGTGGTGCTGCCGAGGTGCGGCGTCCCGCTTGGCTTCCGCAATGTGGTCTCGGCGCTGTGCTGCAACTGCCTTGCCTTCAGCTCCTTCCGTGCCTCGGGATCCAGCGCGGCGATGGAGCCGCTGTTTGCCTTGAGGCGCGGCATCACGCAGGGGCGCCCCCTCTCTGGCACGGTCTGGTGCGTGGGCGTGGATGCCCCGATCCGTGCGCTGATCAAGGCGCTGGGAGACCCTCCTGAAGGCTGCCTCACAGCGTGCGCGGACGACTTGGGCATGCTCATCCGCAGCGCCAGGGCCCTCCCGTCCATCGCCTCGGCCTTCGATGACATCGAGTTCGCCTTCAACCTACAGCTGGCGATCCACAAATGTGTGCTGGTCCCACTCTGGGCCGAGGTCTGTCCCAGCCTGATCAATGAGACCAAGGAGTACCTGGCCGAGTTGGTCCCGCGTTGGAGGGCTTCCGCATCGACTCCTCCGCAAAGTATTTGGGCGCGCGCATTGGACCGGGCATCTCGGAGCAGGGCATCTGGAAGGAAGCGGCGGCGAAGTGGTGGTCTCGTGCTGCGGAGCTGAGTCGCACGGGCATGGCGACCAGCCTTGCCGCCCGCGCTTACAACGTGAATGTGCTCCCTTGCCTCTCCTACCTGTCCCAGTTCTTCTTCCCCATCCCCGAGATCTGGCGGGCCGAGTTCACGATGCTCCACCGCCTCTCGTCCATGCGCAACGCGGACATTCTCGCCGTGGGCGCGTGGTGCGGCTCTCCAGCGCCGGTGGGCGTGTTCCCGTACTCTGTCGCCTCGCTCCTCCGTGCGGCGGCTCACGCTGTGCGCGGCTGGGTCCTTGTGCTGTGTGCCTTGCGCGAGACGGCTGTGGAGCACCTCCCGCTTGTTCGTGTACTTCGGGGCGCGTGGTCGCCGCCCTGGTGGGCCACCAAGCGCGCCATCGCCCAGAACTACGGCCTCGTGATGAACCAGTTCTTCGCCCTCCCGCGCCCGCGCCCTGAGCTCGACAAGATGCCCGTCCCTGTTTCGCCATCCCTCGTCGAGGCGGCCCGCCGGTCGATGTTCGCCGAGGAGCTGGCGGCCGCCGCTGCTGTCCCGCCCAGGAAGGTCAAGCGCCAGGCTGCGGCGATGCTCACCTTGAGGGATGGCCTCTACGACGACCGCCTCGACCTGCTCATCGGCCGCCGCTTGCGGCGCTGGGGCATCGAGGTCCCTACCGAGGAGCTGCGCGGACGCTGGCTGGAGCTCCGCGCTGAACTGCGTGCCGCCCGCCCGTCATGGCTATGGTCGTGGCTCCGCCCGGCGGTCAACCGTTGGATCACCTCGGGCAGGATGCGCGTCATCGCCCCGCGGTCGTGCATCTTCGGCCGCAACGCCAAGGACGACCTGGCGCACTACATGAATTGTGAGAAGCTCCGCAGCACGGTCGCTGCCCCTGCGGAGCCGAGTGAGTTGGATTTCGGAATTGTCTCCCTAGGGCTTGGCCATTCGCACGAGCATCGCGGGCGCACGCGCATGACTTGTTTGCGTGCGGTGGCGTTGGCCACGCAGCTCTTCCATATTGCCAAATGGCGGACCGACAGCGGTCTGCCCATTCATGATGACGCGATCGCGGCCACACGCATCGCAGCTTTGCATCGTCTACAGGCCTAGAGCGGCATCGCACGCACCTGCTCGCCGAGCTTCGTGCCCTCCTCCTCCTCCTCCTCCTCCTCCACCTTCTCCTCCTCCTCCTCTTCCTTTTCCTCCTCCTCTTCGTCCGCCCCCGTCTCCTCCTCCTCCTCCTCCTTCTCCTCTTCGTCCTCCTTCTCCTCCTCCTCCTCGTCCTCCTCCTCCTCCTCGTCCTCCTCCTCCTCCTCGTCCTCCTCCTCCTGCTCCTCCTCCTCCTCCTCGTCGTCGTCGTCGTCCTCCCTCCTCCTCACCCCCCCCCTCTCCTTCTCCTCCTCGTCCTCCCCCTCCTTCTCCTCCTCCTCCTCCTCCTCCTCCTCCTCCGCTTGCTTCTCCTCCTCCTGCTGCTCCTCCTCCTCCGTCCCCCTTCCCTCAGGGCAGTGCCGTCTTACAGTCTCACAGGCAGCGGATCGGCGCTGGGTCGGCCCTCCTGCTCGAGGGGCTCTTCGATTGGGCGCCGGCGATGCGCGCGGCCCTCCTTAGGTGATGCTGCACGTGTACGACAATGGCTCGCACCGGGTCCAGGCGATCTTTTTTTAGGCCTCTCTCTCCATCTTTCCTTCCTTCAGAAGGTGTCATCATCCAAAGACTTCTCTTCCTCGCTCATCCGACGTCTTTCTGGCTTCTTCATGGGCCACCGAGCCCGGATCTCATGACGTGCGCTCCTCTTATGATGATTATCTTGCCTTGTCGCCTCTCTCCGCTCCTGTGCCTCCTCTCTTTGTTGTTCTCGTCAGTGTGGGCACTGTGCGCGAGCGTCCACGGCGAAACCCGCGAGGTAGTTCTTTCTCACTTCGCCGAACGTTTATATGCAGTTGACTTCTGTTGCGTTGAAGACTGGCACCATGTGCTTGATGATCGGTGGTCGTCAGTAGTCCAGTGAGGTTCACGCACCCTGGGCGCACGTATTGGAATCTCCGCTGTTGGGTTTCACTGTTCTGGGGAAGGCTGCTTGATCTTAGGCGATGCACCCCCCCCACTGAACATTGGCACGCGGCGCTTGAGAGTTTTAGACAGTTTTGGGTTCGTGCTTTGGGGGGGAAACTTCGGCAGCAGGAGGAGCTTGCTGGAAGCCAGGCGCGGCTTCTCAGTCGACTGTTCTTTTCGTGTGTTTTTGGTCTTGGTCTTCCTTGCCATGTCAACATTTGACCTGGCTGGTAACGCCCCGAGGCAATCAACGCGATGCTTGCCCCGCTCGATATGGGGATCTACCATTGCGGGTTGGAGGTGTACGGCTGGGAATGGAGTTTCTCGGACACTAGCAGCGTGGACAGCACGTCTGGGCACGCGGTTCTGAATGAACGACCACCGCCATTACTTAGGCGAAGTGAGCAGGTTTTGATTTGTGAGTTTCTGGATGGCAAGTGTTCATGGCATCTGTCCCTAGGTCTCTTCCGTTCAGCGTCCCCGCTATGGAGGGTGGGGGAAGGCGGGAGGGAGGGAGAGAAAGGGAAGGGGGAGGGAGGCCGTTTAAGGGCTTCGGAGTGATGGCAGGTGGCGTAGTCCATTCAGGCTCGCATAGGGTATTTTGTACCCGTCCTGCGCAGAGTCCGGGCTTCAACTATCTGGAGTCACTTTCATTGGGCGACACCGTCGTCTCCCCTGTGAGCTGGCGCAAGATCATAGGACCCGCGGATTTGACGTTTGCTCTTCGGTGCAGTGGGAATGGACTGCAAGCAACACCGCTCTTGCCATGTCCTTCGTCACAGCTGCCCCCATCATCACCATTCACAGCTAATCATGCTAAAAGGAACGCTCTTAAATATCTGCGAGAGAACATGCTAGCATGCCTAAGCAGACACACGTCCGACACAGATCGCAGGAAGTCTTCATGCTCGTTTCTGGTGCTGTTGCTGCTGCCGCTGTGAGGTCGGGTTCCGAAGGAACACCCACCCAGAAAAGGCGATTGATGAATTCTGCGCTGGCCCGCTCGACATTGGTACTCGCAGTGTGCCGGTGCAGCCCCCAGTCAGTTTCGCTAATCGACGTGCCTTTCGCCGTATACATTCGGAGGTTGTGCGATGCCGATTGGAAGTTCCTCTCGTGTGTACTCGGAATGTTGGGCCGCGCGCGCCCGTGGAGTACCCCTGGCTGTTGTCACCGACAGGGGGCTCTGCCCACTGTTGGTGTTGTTGCTTGGAAGAGACAGGCACCGGGCCCCAGCCCCCGTCCCCGCCCGCAGCAGCCAGCAACAGATGCCGTACCACCGCAGGTCGGCTTTCAGCCCCTTTGGGAGGTTTGGGTTGCTGGGCTCCGCTCCACCCCAGGAAGCGGCAAAGGTCCCCCTGGGCGGTTGCTGGCCGTTGTGGAGCAGAAAGGAGATGGCCGTCCTCCATGTTTGTGGGGAGTCCTCGGGATCCGGCTGGAAACTTGTCGAATTTCCCAGGGGGGGTCCTTTGGGGGGAGGCGCAGGCTTCCTCTGCTCTCCAGACCGCCCCCCCAGAACGGCCCCAACCCGCCCGTGTGCGCCCGAAGACCTCGCCCCTCGGTCTTCGATCGCCGACGGCGACGGACGTTGCATTGCTCTTGCAAGCCACTGTTGACAGAGACATCCAGAAAGGACGAGGCGGGCTTGGGAAGCCAGCGCCGACCAGGAGCCAGGACGGAGCACCGGAGATTCGGGGACAAGATCGGACCCAGGAGGTTGACGCCGACGACCACGGATAATGCCCAGGCAGAGAGCTAGACATCGGCCGGAAGCAGGACCGATTTGTGGACAGTCGGGGCGTCGAAGTAGGGCACGACCGAATTGTAGGGGCAACGTTTAGGGGGGATGGGCTCACAGGGGAATGTTCAGGGGCGGCCTAACCGACCCCTAGCACACCATCCCCTTTCGTGACGTGCCCCTCGCCTCGCCCCAAGGCGTATGTGTGCGGCCGGAGGGAAGCTTGAAAGGCAAGTGTGACGTCACGGAAGGGCAGTGTTTGCTAGGGGTCGGTTAGGCCGCGCCCGAAATGCATCGACCCTTAATCGCCCATTCGTCTTCGATGGGGGCCCGAATGCCCCAACCTGCCCAGGAACTTCGGGCTCCGCTATCGGGGGACTGTCGCTGAGCTGTCGGCGATGTGTCGCCGGTTTCGGGCCGATTTTTCCACTCTTGCGCCGCCACGCGCAGAGGGCGCTTCTTAGAAGGCGCGGGCCTTGTCTGTAGGTGTAGGGCCGGCGCCTTCTAAGAAGGGGCCTCCTTTTAAGAAGCCTTCCCCCCTCCCGCTACCCCCTGGCGCGCGCCGCCAACCTCTGCTCTTCCCCCCTATCGTTGCGCCTCAGAGTTGGGGGAATTCGGGCACAGGGTTGATTCGAGGAGATCTGCGCCGACCAGATCGTGGACCGAGCCAGGGACAGTCGTGGATATGGTCTAACTGAAGGTATTTGTGTCGACCGATGGCAGGACTGAGTCGGTGCCGGTCCGGGCCAACCGCGAATCGAGGAGATTGGCTCCGACGTACGGCAGTTCTGTTGACTACAAGTGAGAGCCTGCTCAGTGCAAGCCCTGTCTGGCGAGCGTAATTGCGGCAATGACCTTATCCCGAGGCGGGAATTTATACATGACCACCGCCTGGAGAATCAATTTTCGGGGACCTCGGCAGGCGGTGGATATGGACATATTCGGGCCCCCCGGGCCAGAATAGATCCATATCCACCGCCCGCTGGAGCACCAGGACGTCGGTTCCCAGGCGGTGGGTATGGATAAATCCCGGCCTCTCACCTATGGCATGGCAGATGTTATGGTCGAGGCTCGGGTTTGCCGACGCTTTTTGACGGGCCCATCCTGAATTGTGACGGTCCTGTGTTCGTGGGATGTTTGCAGCGGGGGGGTCGCGTCAAATTTCAGATTGGGTCACGTCGTTTTTTTGCCGGCCCCGTCGGGCCAACCAGAGTCCCCCGAACCCGAGTCTCACGTCTCCCGGTATGAACACGGTGGCCCTGGCCAGGCTGGTCGCACGCGCAGGCATTTTGACTCAGGGACCGACGTCGCGACTCTCGGCCGCCATGGCCGCCATGTCTGGAGCCAGCGAGGGCCTCGAGGTGGAGGTGCACGTGAACTTCGTCTGCGATGGGTGCGAGGCCGGCCCGATCCTGGGCCGGCGCTATCGGAGCCTCACGAGGGCCGACTACGACTTGTGCGAGTCCTGCTTCGGCAAGACGGGCGAGCATTGGAGCGGCTTCCAGTGCGTTAGGTCTGCCGTCCGCGCCCGGGTGGTGCCTTTGCCCCATAGCTCACCAGGTTCACTGGGGGGCGGCCTGGTCCGCAGCGGCTTCGTGCGCGCTGGCTGTGTCCAGTCCCCTCTGGTCGGCACCACGCTACATGCCGTGGAGGAGCTGGAGCGGCAGGTCGGCGAGAGCCTCGAGGTGGAGGTGCACGTGAACTTCGTGTGCGATGGGTGCGAGGCCAGCCCGATCCTGGGCCGGCGCTACCGGAGCCTCACGAGGGCCGACTACGACTTGTGCGAGTCCTGCTTCGGCAAGACGGGCGAGGGCGGGCTCGGCTTCCAGCGCGTGAAGTCGAGCGTCCTCTCCCGGGTGGTACCCTCGCCCTGTGGCCCACGAGGGTCGCTGATGGGCGACGGCCTGGTCCACTACGATGTCCAGTGCTGTGGCCGTGGCCGTGCCCCCCTTGTCGGCGGCAGCTTCGGGAGCCACGACCGTCCCGGCTGCGACCCCCACGGCCGCTGCCCCGCGGAGCCGCCGGCGAGACGCGAGCGCGAGGCGGGCCGCCTCGCCCAGGGGGCCGCTCCGCAAAGGCGCCGCCCGCCGCCTCGCGAGGGCGGCGGGGCGGACTTCGAAGTGGAGGGCGCCGGCTTGCCCACGCCTGCCGCTGCGGAGGTGCCGGCGGCCGCGGAGTCCGAGCCGCCGCAGGACACGCCGTCGCCGCCGCTCGAGCATGCGCTGGCGTGCGGCCCGTCCCGCCGCCGTGCTCGGGTCGTGGGCAGGAGGCCTCTCGGATGCTTTTTGGGGGCCTCTTGTGGGGGCCTCTTTGAGGAGACCTCTTGGGCGCGTGCGGGGAGCCTCCCGGGGCCCCTTGTGGGCTCCTGTGGGCCTCCGGCCTCTTTTTTGGACCCTGTGCGGGCTTCCCAGGGGCCTCCCGGATGTCGGTGTGGGTCCTCTTGGGGGCATCCTGGGGGCCTAGCTTGCCCGCGGGGGGCGCGAAGGTCGTCGTCCTTCGCGCGTCGAGGTCTGGTCCAGAAAGCTGCCACTTCTTCTGGGGGGCGGCGTGAGGGCTTGAAGATAACCGCGCGTTGTGCATCGCGCGGCGCGAAGCGCGGAGTTGGGCGACCTTGAAGTTGGGCGACCTAGAGTGTCAGGGAAGTCGTCAGATCTCATGGACCAGCGCCTAGGTGCGGCCCGTCCTAGGCCTCCTGGATGACTGTATGGGGCCTCTTGGCCCAAGAGAGCCCCAAGACGGCCAAGAGGGGCCCCAGAAGGTCCCACAGGGGCCCCAAGGGAGCTCCCAGAGGGCCATAGGAGGACCCCTGGACGGCCGAAGAGGGCTCCCAGAGGGCTCCAAGGCGGCCCCAGCCCCCCGGGACGGCCCAAGAGGGCCCAGGACAGCCCAAGAGGGCCCACAGCTGGCCCAAAAGAGCCCCAAAAGGACCCCCAAGAAAGCCCAAGAGGCCCCCAAAGTTTCCAGAATGTTTCCAAACGGCTCCCAGGAAGCTTCCCAAGGCTCCAAGAGGCCCCCGATTCACGATTCATCTCAGGGTTTCCTCCTCCTCCTCCTCCTCCTCCTCCTCCTCTCCCTCCTCCTCCTCCCTCCTCCTCCTCTCCCTCCTCCTCCTCCTCCTCTCCTCCTCTCCTCCTCTTTCCTCTCCTCCTTTCTTCTCCTCCTCCTCCTCCTCCTCCTCTTCTCCTCCCTCGTCCTCCCTCCTCCTCCTCCTCCTCCTCTCCTCCCCTCATCCCCTCCTCCCCCTCCTCCTCCTCCTCCTCCTCCTCCGCCTCCTCCTCCGCCTCCTCCTCCTTCTTCACCTCCTACCCTTCCTCCTCTTTCTCCTCCTCCTCCTCCTCCTGCACCTCCTCCCGCTCGCGCGGTTTGTAATACTTCGGCAATGGTGCTCTCGCCCATCCGTGGCCGCATCCTGATCCAAGATTTGCGCAGCCACCCCAGCACTGACCACACTCTCCAATACGAGCGGTACTGTCGCCTCAGAGTCGGCCACAGCCCTGATTGCAGATGATGCTGCGGGTCGCGCACAAGCTCCATTCCTGAATGGGATTGGCGCTCTCGTCCGAGCGCTGGCCACACCCCTGTCTGGGAGTCATGCTGCCGTCTGCGCGCTGGCCACATCTTTCATGGAAAGCGGCACTTATTTCGCAGCGCCAGCCACGCCCCTCATTGGCTATTGTGATGCCGCTCCACCCGCACGGTTCCCACAGCCCTCATTGGAGAATGGTGCTCCGCCCAAGCGCCAGCCACATCCATTTCCAAGAGTTGTGCTGCCGCCCCAGCGCCGGCCGCATCCGTGTGTGAGACTGATACTCTCGTTTGAGCCTCGGCTACATCTGTCTGTTACGAGCGCCACCCCCGGCGCGAGACAACTGGCGACCGCAGCTGCCGTCCCTTCGTGCTGGGCGAGTGCCGAACCTGGCGTTCGGTTTGGACGAAACGCGTGGGGTCTGTTGCCAATCGGGGCTGCGCCAGGTCGGCCCCACCAACGACAGGTTCGGGAATGGGTCGTAGCAACACTGCGGCTACATCAATATGCTAACCGCAGAGTCAATACAACATGTAGGTGCAAGGATCAATACTAGAAGGCGAAGCACAGCGAACCTTACAATCTGGTGTTTACATTTATATATGTGTACAGATATATAGGTATTTGTGGTTAGACTGTATGTATTTGTGTGCATGGCTATGTGCACATATGCATGTATACATGCATGTGCGCATGGATTCATGACTGTATGCATGCATGTATGCATGTATAGGTGTATGTATGTATGTCTATGCACGTATGTATGTATGTATGTATGTATGTATGTATGTATGTTTGCAGACATGCATTAAGGTATATATGCCTGTCTGCCTGTCTGTATGTATGCATGCATTTTAATACGTACGTATGTCTGTATGTATGCATGCATGCAGATGTATAGGAATATCATTGCGTATGCATGCATGTATGTCTGTATGTGTGTATGTGTGCTTATCAGTGTGTATGTATGTGTGTATGAGTGCATGTATGCATGCCTGTCTTTCTGTCTGTCAGTCTGTCTGGCTGTCTGTCTGTCTGTCATTCTGTCTGTCTGTCTGTATGTACGGATGTACGGATGTGAGCATGCATATGTATGTATGTAGACATGTGTGTATGTATGTGTATGTATAGATGCATGCGTGCATGTATGCATTCATGTCTGTCTGTCTGTATGTGTGTATATTGATGTATGCACGTATGTCTGTATATATGTATGTGTGTATGTGTATGTGTATACGCATGCATGCATGTACGTATGTATGTACTTATGCATGTCTGTCTTACTGTCCGAATGTACGTATACATGCATACATATACATGTCATTGCATGTATGTATGTATGTATGTATGTATGTATGTATGTATGTATGTATGTATGTATGTATGTATGTATGTATGTATGTATGTAGTGTGTGTATGCATGCATGCACGGATGGATGGATGGATTTATGTAGTGTGTATGCATGCATGCACGCATGCATGTATGTCTGTGTGTATGCATGCATGCACGCATACATACATGCATGTATGCACATACGCATATAACACAGCAAACATGCATGTGTGCATATGAATGCGTGCTCGTATGCATGTATGCATGCGTGCACGCATGTACGGATGCAAGTATGCATGCACGTGTGTATGCATGCGTGTATGTAGGTATGCATGCATGTATGCATGCACGCATGCATGCATGCATGCATGCATGCATGCATGCATGCATGTGTGTATGCATGCATACATGTATATACGTATGCATGCATGCATGCATTTGCATGTACAATATGACAAGTGCACACATAAAAATGTACCGGCTCGCTTTGCAGCACGTTTACAATTTGGGCCGCATGGCGCCAGCGAGGCGCGCCAGGACTGGTAGTCGCCAGCACCGCGACTGGTAGTCGCCAGCACTGCGGTGTGTTTCAGCTATGGAGCCCATGAGGCACACCGGGCTGATAGGACCCATGGGCTCCTGTGGGTCAGAGGTCTGAAGAGCTTTCCGCCGACATTGGGACCCAAAGGCTCGGAGCGCGAATGTGGAAGAGGGTACTTCGGCAGCGCGGCTCCTGGAGATCATGAGGGTCTAAGAGCCCGCAGCCGTACTTGAGTTCAGAGGGTTCCTCGGGCTGATGAGCTCATTAGGCGTGGAGGCTCGTGGGGTCCTTGGCCTCACAGAAGCCACTGTCTCATGGACTCCATGGAGCCGGTCGGCTCATAGGGTTTGCGAGGTGCATGGGGCGCATAAGGGTCACTGTGCTAATTGGGCCTTGGAGGCTCATAAGGTTCAGAGCAGGTTGTCGGGGTTATGAGGCTCATAGGGCCGACGGGGCTCATAGGGCTGATAGGGCTCTTGAGGCTCTTTGGGGTCGGGCGGGCCGTGGGGCCCATGAGGCTGATAGGGCTCATAGGACTCGTGGGCCTTATGAGGCCCATAAGCGAAATAGGGCCCGTTGGACCCGTAGGGCTCATAGGGCTCGTCGGGCCCATAGGTCTCATAGGGCTCACAGGGCCCATAGAGCCCACAGGGCTTATAGGGCTCATAGGGCTCATAGGGCTCTCAGGGCTCTTAGGGCTCGTTGGGCTCGTAGGGATCATATGGCTCACAAGGCTTGTTTGTCTCATAGGCTCAGTGGCGACATTGGGCCCATGTTGCTCGCACGGCCCATGGGGCTCATAAGGCTCATGGGGTTCGGAAAGGCCACAGGGCGCATGGGGCTCATAGAGCTCATAGGAGCCATAGGGCTCATGTGGCTCATAGTGACCATTCGAGCTCATGGAGCTCGTAGGGCCCATGGGGGGCATACGTCTCGTAGGGCCCACATGGCCCATAGCGTTCGTGGGGCTCATGGGGCTCGTAGGGCGTCGGGAGCCTCACGGGGCTCGTAGGCCTTGTAGGGCCCACGGGGCCCGCCTGAAGACCGTTGTTTTCGTTTGGCTGGCGAGTTTGCTGCCGCGTGGAACGGTATGGAAGCAGGGCAGGCGGAGGGGAGACATAGAGAGAGAGAGAGAGAGAGAGTGGTGGGGAGATATGGGAGAGAAAGAGGTGGTCATAGGGTTCGCATGTATGGCAGGGCTGAGGAACTCATGTTGCTCATGGGCTCGTAGGGCTCATAAGACTTGTAGAGCTCATGGCAGAGGTGCCTCGGGAATTTCCTAGAGGGCACATGGGGATCATCGGGCTCATAGGGGTCGTAGGGGTGGCAGGGTTGGGAAGGGTCGTAGGGCTCATGAGCTCATAAGGATGGTGGTGCCCGTAGGAGTTAGAAGGCGTGTGAGGTCGTGAGGAGCATAGGGTCGTACGGCTCACTGGGCTCGTGAGCGTACGTGCTGCAGGGGGCTCGTAGGGGTCATAGGGCAGATGAGGCTGGTTTGGCTCTGACCTGAGGGTTCGTAGCGCTGACAGGGGTCGTAGGGTTCGCAAGGCTCGACGGGCTCGTACGGCCGTCGGGCGCAAAGGTGTCGTACGGTCCAGGAGCTGGGCCTCAGATGGCTTTGGGGTGCGGCGTCTCGGGGGCCACTTGGAGGGCGCTTCGGGATCGTAGGCCTCATAGGGCTCATTGGGCTCGAACGGCTCACAGCGCTATCCGAACCCATCTTGCAGGGCCTTGTGGGCAGTTTCGCGGCCTTCTTAGGCCGTCTCGGGGCCTCCTTGAAAGCTTGGTGCGC